ATATTTATTATATATAAATTATATTTCAATAAACATGACTTTTCACATGTAACATTGGCTAAACTTTGAATTAAGACAATCAGCGATTGGACATATCGAGCTCTGGTCTCCCTGCCCCTAAGCCACTTTGCCATACAGGAGAGGAAGAACCATCGCAGACAAGACAGGTTCGGGGACACTGTTTCAGGCCCTTCCTGGATGAAGTGTCTTGCGTCCCTCCTGTTATGTCCTCACTACCTTTATCCTTCCAGGTCCACATCACTTCTTTTCTGGACTACAGTAGTGTCTTCCTGCCTGTTGTTTCTGTGCCGCGTCTTCCTCTCTGGTCCCTCCATTAGTGTGCTATCAGAACAAGCTTCCTAAAGCACAGCTCGGATCACATCATCTGCTACCAGGAATGAAGCCTTTGTTCCTTTCTCTACAATCTGACCCACTCTTATTTCCTTCTTCACCATTTTACACCCACGGACTCAGTACTCAAGTTATTTCTGCTTTCTCTTTCCCTATGTACGTTCGTTCATTCACACTATTTGCCACATCATAAATTTTCCCCAATCTTTACCTTTTGAAATATTACATATTCTGCAAATATTCAAATGCCACTTTGTCTATAACCCTTGATAATCCATGTTTTATGTCCTTTAAATTTATCTATCACTCTGTTTAGTACTTAAAGTATCATGTGTTATTATGGTAAGTCTGTCCCCTTATGAGAAAGGTTTGGCTATCATCAATTTCTATATTGTGTCTATATAATTATTGAATGGATAATTTACTTCACCTCCTTCTCAGCAGGTGACTTTATATCCTACATGCCTTGGAAAACAGAAGTCATAAAATAACTACCCCAACTTCTTGCCAATGCACTTACAAAGTCACCTGCATCTGTATATATCATGTGCTCTCCGACCCCACCTCCTCCCCTAAATAAATCATTTTCCTGGCTCCAAATCCCATTTTCTCATCCCTGACTGAGAGCTCTGCTCCATCAATTACCTCCTCTTTCTTCTAAATGTTTAACCTCTTCCTTTCTGCTGTTTCCTCTTCACAGTATTCAGGGAACACCAGTTAGAAATATTTATATAAACTATTTTTCAAGCAAGAACAGTTGTGCTGACAGACCCTCATGACTAGAGACCCTGAAGAGCACACTTAACGAGGTAAGGGAAACAAATATAGACACCCACTGGCCAGGCAAGAGAGAATTATGCACGTCCATCAATGAGATAAAGAAGGTTGAGAGTTGATGCTGGGATAACCACCCTCCTCCTCTTACCTTTCTTTCCTTTGAGATATCCTGACCTATGAACATCTGTTAATTCCACCTGATACCTGATCGGGGTAACAGTTTGGGCCCAATGATTGCATATGATTGGGCCCAATGAACTATTTGCAGGAGTAGCCACTTGGACCTCTCCTCATCCGGCATTCACTTTTCTAACACTCCATGGCCTTTTTTCAGTTTCTCAAGCATGTTGACATCTGTTCAGCCTTTCAATTTTTGTACCTCTGCTGAAGCACTCTGCTGTTTTTCTCCCCCATCCACCCTGTCTTTGGCATGGCTGGCTCCTTAGCTTTGTACTTACAACTCAAATATCACCTTTCCTGACTGCACATTTGCTATCAGAATGTCCTTTGTAGAATTTTTCGTGACTTCTAATTTTTGTTTGTTTATTTCTTATTGCTCTCACCACTAGACTATAAACTCCACAAAAATAGGGATTATGTCTACCTTATTTACCAGTATGTTCTCAGAACCTGACACAGGGAACACACTTGAAAAAAGTATGGAATGAATGGACTGTATGAAAAACCAGCTCAGCATTGCAGTGGTTCTAGGGTAGGAAGCTTAGCAGAACCATCTGAGGAACTTATTCAAACTATACAATCTTAAACCCCTTCCTCTAACTGTACTCCCCTAATGAAGAAAAAACAGAGCTGGACAATAGTTGAAGTTATAAAAAGCAGATTTTATTCAGGACTATTGCAATAGGGACAAAGGAACTTCAGTATAGAATGGGGTTCAGTCCCAAATACAGCCTAGGCAAGTGGAAATTTATAGCCAAGGGGTGTTGTTGGAGTCAATGGATAAAAAGTTATTAAGAGGAAAAATCAGGGGTAAGGGAGGATTCTGGCAAGACTGACCTAACAGGGTCTTTGCTGAAGGCAGGTCAGGGTGATCAGACATCACCTGAGGATGGTGGAGGATGAGGAACCTGATCAGATATTGAGGGTGGATGGTTATTAATAAACTGACTTAGCTGGGTTCTTGCTAAAACTGCATTTTACAAGGAAGTGCATAAATGGGCCTAGAAGAAGCTTCAAGAGACTGACTAAAGTTTGGCCAAACAAAAAGTCTTTGCCAATACCCAGATTCTGATGTACCATTACCGGCATTAGGAGGGGCTCTAGGTACACAGCTACAGCACGTGTCCCTCGCAGCCCTTCAGATTCTGGCATAGTCGGTGAGGGATATAATATCAGTAATTACTCTGGGGTAAATTACTGATGGGGGAAATGGTTGTGTATAATTGAAAAAAAAAAAGGCCTCTAGTAACATTCACAAGTCATGTCCAGGCTCCTGCAAGGACCACAGCCCTGGGTATATCATTCCTGTGCCTTATAATGTCCCCCAGATCTTTAGAGGTAGCTGCTTGTCACCTCTCAATCCCTAATCTTTCAGCCAATCTCATGTATGTGGGGTTTGCATATGGGCAATGACGTTTATCATTAAAATTTTCTTAATCATTAACACTTTGTCTTCTATCACAGGGATCTTCAGTCATTAAACACACAAAGGCATTCTATTTGAAGAAAAGTTCTAATATTGGTGAGGGCAAAAGTGCTTCTAATAAGCCACTTTAGATTAAATGTTGACATCATTACTATAGAATGTCATTAGCACCATAAACTGAGATTCTGGACACCTAGACAAAACTTTTGGAAAAAGCCTTTTCATACCCAGGCCACAGATTCCCCATCACCAGTCCTCCACAAGTCCGTATAATTCAGTCACATCAAACAAGAGAGAAGGGATGATACACTAGGAGTAGGGGTATGGGGAACAAATCATAGGATTTTAGAGCCAAGTTCTTGTGTCTTTCTTTGAACTAAAAATTCTGCCATCACTCTGCTTTTGGGGAAACATTCCAGCCCGAAATAGGAAGCTGTTCTAAGCAATATCCTTGAGGGTCTTGCCTGTGCATTAATCAATGATTAAAGCAATTTCCTGACCTACTATTTAGGGCTGATATGAATGGGAACAGTTAGGGGAGTCAAGAAAAAGGTTAGAAGTTTAACTGAAAGGCTTTTTGGAGAAGTAGCACATTGCGAAACTATTACATAACTCTTCGCAGTTTTTAAAGATTAACACATTTAAGTCACAACTAAGCCTGTCTTTGAGGAATTCAAATAAACATGTGACCCCCCCCCCAAAATACATTGCTAACCCCCGTGAGCTAATTTCTATTCAAGAAAGAAGTGTTTTCTTGAGGATTTGGGAGTCCAAACAGCCTGTCCAAATGGCTGGGGCAACATGGAAAGAACGACAAATCCTTGGAGTCAGAGGGATTAGAGCAGAAATCGTGGTTTAGGATTGTGTGATTCCAGCAAGTTCTATCACCTCTCTTGGCCTCTGTTGCCTCCTCTGAAAAGTGGTAATAATATCTCTTTTTCAAGGTTAGTAGGGGAATGAGCCATGCTACTAGTAGCAGTAAGAACACCCAATAGCAATTGTGAGTGAGAATATTTTCTTTCAGCACACGCTGTCTCCCCGTGAACCAGGGGCGGGCGTTCTTTCAGACTCTGCTACACAGGTGCCTCTTGAGTTTGCATTAGGAAGCTGTAAGCATCTGTTCCTCTCATGATGTAACTTCTTCAATGTTACTTGGTCTATTTAAACCCCCAAAAATGTGACTTCAGATAAGCACTCAGAAGTATTTAAAGGCTACTTTACATTAAAATTTTTGTATTTCTTGAGTTGAATCTGCCCCCATCAATTTTCATTTGTCCCCCTCAAAACTGTTTACTAAAATATGTATTTTTCTTTTGAACAGAGAATTTTTCCAAGATTGTGTATTTATGAGTGGGAATGATTGGACCTCACATCTTTAGAGCACCTGAGACAGCTACTGCCTTTCCTTTTGACAGACAACCCTCAAGGAGTCCATTTATCAATGCACATTTTCTAATAACAGAGTTGCCAAAACAAAGGTCCTAATTTTTCAAATTGCTTTTAATGTGGCTAAAGCGCAAAACAATTTATCTTGTATTGGTCTCACTGCTCCACTTAAGGGATCTGAATAAAGATTTTAACAAAATCATATCAGCTCATCTCCATCCATCTCATCTCGCGCACACATACACACACACACAAACACACTGTAATCAAGGAAACATAGAGTGTACAAACGCTTGTGTGACGAACACCTAATTAATGACGAAACTCCTTGGAGTCAAGGGGCTGTTCTCCCAATAGATTGCTATTTTAAAAATATTTCTCTTTGAAAACAACTGTAAGATTAATCCCATCATTCCTATTTAAATTTCTTATGGAGAAACAACAAGGCACTTTGAGCAATTATTAAAAACACTTTATTATGTATAAGTTGTGCATGCTTGAATGTGTGATGCTGGGGGTGATTTATTTTCCACATTGTGATGTCATCTACCCAACATTAACTAGACCTAATTTACATCCTGCCATGCCACATAAGAAAATACAATTTTCAAAGTAAAGTTCCCCTACTTTATACATAGATACGCAAGAGTTTGTCAGACAAATAAAACAAGAAAAGAATACTTTTGCACACGTATCAACACCATACAAGGCATTATCCTTCACAAAGTAACATCTAATGTGTTCTCTGATTTGAAAACAGCAGGAAAGGGGCCCCTTCGCCCTCAGAGGGAAATGCAAACGTTGTTGATAAAGCCCGACTCTGGGGATGAAGGCGTGGCCTTCTCCGGGGAGCTGGGGCAGTGGGGACTGATGGAGCAGGGTGGACGCTTCATAAGCACTTCAGGAGGAAGGAATTGCAGGAGGTTCCTCGGGGACAGTCGCACAGCTTCCCGATTCTCGCTCCTTTTCGCACTGCGCACTTCTCGCCGGCGTCACACTGCAGGCAACACAGCGCGGGGTCTCCGGCAAGCGCAGACCCAGGCACCCAAAGGGCGCATCTCCCCACCAACTCAGCTTCTGCCTCTTGGGAAAGACGGGTAGACCCAACACCATCCCCAGGGGCCTAACTATAGTCAGGCCTAAAATGGCAGAGAGCTTTGTGCTTATAATTTCAGTGAGAGAACATAGAAAGAAATTTAAATTATTGAGCCTCTCCTCCTTTTTTCCACCTTTGGTTGGGGGGGGTTGAGCCGGGGGGGGGGGTACGGGGTGGGTTATATTTCCTGGGTCCTTTAATTGCTCATCCAAAAAAAAAAAAAATAAGATCAAGCAGACCTTCTCTCTGAGAAATAAACAATAGATCTATATTTTCTCACAACCCCTGTCCCCTGTTTTCTGTCCCTTCGTCCCAAAAAGGGAAATTTAAGTATGTGTGTGTGTATTTGTTCTCCATGGAAGGTGACAAGTCCTGGTTAAGAATTTTGAGCCTAAGAACTTAGATCAAAAACTGAGTGCTTCTGGGGAAAACTGGAAGAGCAAGAACTGAGTAGATTTGAGGGCTCTTCCAATTGAGAGAATTCTTGGTGAAGTGAAAAAGCTCATCTTTACGCAACGCTCCTTTGTACACAGAGCCAAGAGCAGGTTCCTGGCACATGCTGTTCGATCCTCTGAAATCCTTAGAGACAAGGGCAAGGGCTGGCAGTGGAAACAAAGGGGGAGGGGCACGAAATTCTGCAAACCCATTTCCTGAATTATTCAGCCACATCCTAGGGAGAAGGCATGTATAAGACGCAGGGTGATATATTTTCTTTTGGAAAAACATGGGGAGGGGGTGACCCCAAAACCTTACCATGGGGACTTGTCCGTACTTCTTCTCATAGATGGGAATGCGCTTACTCTTGAGCTTCTTCAGGACTTCCTGCAGTGCTTCGATCTGCAACATACCGCCCCAGCGGAGCCCGAAGTTGTCGCCTTGGCTGCGAGCCCAGCCCAGGTGCGTTATAAGGAGCCCCAGAACCACACACACTCCGCCCTGGGATGTTCCAGGGGTGGAAACTAAGCGAGCGCCCTCAGGGATACTGACAGCAGGACCCAGAGCCTCGGAGGCTCCTGTCGCTCAGAGGTGCGGGGACAAGAGATTCGCTCTACAGACTGCCGGGAGCCCGTAGGCTCGAGACAGTCTTCGGAGGACAGCGGGAGCCCGGACTTTGCGCTCACCTCCCCGCGCCTCGCCTGACTCCCGGAATTGGGGTGGGGAGGAGGAAGAGAGGAGGTACAAAGAAAGGGACGGCGTGGAAGCCCAGGGGAGTCTGGGGCGTGGGGGATACCGACCAGCTCCTTCTCATGGGAGGCATCCTCCACGGCAGAGTAGATGTCCAGGGCTCGGGGCTGGAGCTCGGCGTCCTCCTGGGCACGGGCGCCCAGCAGAGGTAGCAGCAACAGGAGGGCGGCACCCAGGAGGGGCAGCAGCCGAAAGCGGGGGCTCTCCATGGTGCTGAAACTCGGCGCTGCTGAGGCACCCCGCGCTCCCGCCTTTTATACCCAGCCAGAGCCCGGGAGCAGGGAAGAGGGAGGGGGCAAGGAAGGAAGGGGGTGTGGAGGAGGGTCCAGGTCACCCGTCTGTAGGCAGCGATCCGCCGCCGCTTGACGTCAATGCCCGCCGGGCTCCGGGCTCCCGGGGAACGAAGCTCTGAGCACAGATGGGCAAGAGCGCAGAAACCAAGTACCCCGCGCCCCCAAATGTTGTCAGCCCCGCGGTAAGGGATGCTCCCTGAGGGGTCTGAGCTGAAGTCAAGGGGCGAGAGGTGAGGGATGGGGAGCAGGAGGGCTAGGAAATGGAAACTGTCTTTTAGGTGAGGCATAATAAGCAGAAGAGTCCCTCCCCACCTCCTAGCAGCGGCGGCAGCAGCCCAGTCCACCTCCCCCGCCCTGCCATGACTCTCACCCCAGCCCCCTATGTGGCAGGCAGAAGGGGTGTTGCCTTCAGGAAGATATGTTCGCTGAGCACCTTTCTAGGCACACGGTGGGACAAGAGAGGCAAACATAGTACATACAAGAAAGAGGCATTGTAGCCTTCCCCGGGATGGGCTCGTCCATGGAATCTGTGGGGTAATAATGAGAAAAGAGGGGAAACAGACCAGCTGCAATTCAGAGGCGATGTGAAGAGTGCAGAGAGCCAGGCTCTGCTTCCAGTCCTGCCTCCACACTGACAAGTTGTATGACTTTGGGCAAAATAAAGAACCTCTCTGAGCCTTCCTTTCTTTCTTTTTAATCCACATCCAAGGCTATGTTTATTGATTTTAGAGAGAGAGGAATGAAGAGAGAGAGAAAGGCATTAGTTAGTTGTCTCCCTTACATTCAGACCAGGGATCAAACCTTCAACCTGGTGTTTGCCCTGACCGGGGATCAAACCCAAAACCTTTAGATGTACAGGACGATGTTCCAACCAACTGAGCCACCCAGCCAGGGCTTACTTTTTCCTTTCGTAAAACTAGAATTTAAAAAGATGTACCTCACAGTTATCCGGAGGATGGAATGAAAGATCAGGTATGTAAAGCCCCAGACCCTTAGCACTAAAAGCACTAGGCTTCCATATCTCTCCTCTTGAACTTTGAGGCTGCCCAGGGAAGTGGCTGTGTGCAGTACCTCAGCTTTTCCCTAGGGCAAACTCAACCATCCTCACAGGCCCTCTAACCCACTATGCATCTCTGATATCGAAGGAAGAGCACAAAATAAAAGGATGAAAAAATGCAGCCTCCTGATTATGAAAATCAGAAGTCAGTGGTAAGCCAGGTCCTCCGTGCCTTGTGAAGACACTGTATTTAAGAGGTTGGGGTCCTTACATCCTGAATACAAATGAAAGTTCCTGTAGGAGAGGAGATGTTTTCCCACTTAGATGTGGAGGCTTACCCCACCAGCCTGCCCACCTGGCTCCGTTCCCCACACCCTCTTTGTTTCACCCCAGCCCTTAGTCCGTCCACTCTTCTCCATCCCCCGCTACTACCGTCCCACCCCTGGGAAGCTGCTCCAATCTACTTCCTGCTTTCCCCCAACCCGCACCCCATATCCCCTTGCCTTCCTCTAATCCATAGTTCATCACCAGCCAGGATATTTTTCCCCTTAAAATACACTAATGGCTTTACATATGACTAAACACTGAATCTAAATTCTTTATCCTGATTTATAAAGTACTAAATGATTACATCCCTCTCCAAGCTCGTGTCCTACCACTCTGCCCCAGGTTCCTCCACTCCATCTCCACTTGCTTTCTTTTTGGTTCTCTAATAAGCCAAGGTCATACCCATTTTGAGGCCTTTGCACTTACCTGGAAAAGTCTTTCTGCATCTCCAAATGGCTCACTGCCTCTTGTCATATAAATCTCAGTTTAAATGACATTGACCACCCAATCCAAAGTATCCACCAGTTCAGCCTCCCACCTTTCTTATTGCTTAGCAGATAATGTGGTTCATTGGGATAGTTAACACATTATATGTGTCTGGATATTTAATTCATTAAGTATTTATTTGTTACTGCACACAGTAACAAAGAAATACATTCAAATGCACACAGGGAAGCAACTCAAGAAGTAATATCTCTGCTGATAAATTGCACACTTATTAACAACATCAAAATATTTTCTTTTGGGACAAATTCAAGTTGAAAATTTAACACCTCCCCTAGCCTTTCACACATGCCTTTTGATTCTATAAAACAAAACTTCAGTGGCAGCACATTTTACTGTTTAAACTTTATAGAGACACATTGACACTCATTGCAAAAATCATTTCTAGTGATCTTAAAAACATTCTAAGCTTCAGATTTTAGCCCATCCATTTGTAATACTTTCTCTCAAATTTTGTTCTACCCAGGCACAAGTAATAGCTTTCCCTTTGTGCCTCTCTTGTTGGAAAAGTGTAATAGCACTGGCATTTGGGGCTATCATATTGCTCAAATGCCAGACTACTTTGTTATCCATCCCTCCCCCCACCAACCAAGTCTCATTCAACAGTAAAATGGTCTCAGTTTCACTGACTTCTGAAATACTTGTATTTAAGATTCTCTCATGTTCACTGTGCTTTCCTCCAAGGTAAACGTCATTCAGTTCTCTTTGGTAGACATTTATAATCTCTCAAGTGGCACACTTTTCATTTCTACCTTGTCTGTTTTCCACTGGCCTCCAGAAGAGGAATTAATTTCCATTGACATTCATTTTCTATTTACCAATTTTCAATCCATAGCCTTCCTAAGGAACTGGTGTCACTGTTCTGACGAAACATCTTTATCGCTATCTGGAAGGAAATAGTCTGCAAAAAAAGGACACTTGGTGTTGATGCTCAGTGGGGAAGAGGGTGTTGGAGATGTAGTAGGAGAGAATACATGCTTTACAGACAGCCTCTCAAAGAGTAAAGCAGTGGAAATTGAACAAAGCTTTCTCTTAATTGTTTTAAGCTTTCAATTAAAAGGCTTTCAATTTCAAGTTTTTTAATTTTAAAATATTCTGGATGTCCAGTGTATTCATAGTATTGCCAAATACTTTGAGGATTGCCAAGATAACCAAGACACAGTTCTTACCCTTGATCTTTGCACTGGTCATGCTCACAAATACCAATAATGCAACAGTTCAGTGAGGTGAGGGTTCTAGTGGAGAAAGGGAAGCCCAGAGAAGTCAGATATGAACTCCCTCTCGGGAGAGGCAGCTTCATGAGAAAATAGTGTATGAGCTGCTGGGTCTTAGAGGGTGGGTAGAATTTCAATAATAACAAACCCATTCTGGGGTCGTGGGCTCAAGCAGGCAGTGGTAAGTGAAGTCACACGGGCCGGGACATCTGGAGGAACACTGAAGGGTCTGGGTTGCAGGAGAGTAAGGTACATGAGAATGTGAGAGGGGTGGACATGCAATGGGAAACAAGACTAGAAAGAAACAGTAGAGCAGAAAAGGGAAATCCAGAGCAGCAATACGTAGGTCCAAATTCAGATCCAATGAAAGGAAGTGGGAGCACAGGTGAACCCAAAGGATTCACTTTTTCAAATACTTACATTAAAAGCAAGGTTTTTTATTATTAAATTTATTGAAGAGACATTGGTTACTAAAATTATACAGGTTTCAGGAATACAGTTCTACATCATCTGTATGCTGCATCGTGTGTTCGCCCCCCAAGTCAAGTCTCCTTCTGTCACCATTTATCCCCCCTTTATCCTCTTCCACCCCCACCCTCTTTCTCTCTGGTAACCGCCATACTGTTGTCTATGAGGTTGTTTTTGTTTTTGCTCAATCGCTTCACCTTTTCCATTCAGTCCCACGACTCTCCTCCCCTCTGACAGCTGTCATTCTGTTCCCTGTATCTATGAGTGTTTTTATTTTGCTTGTTGGTTCAGTTTGTTCATTGGATTCCACATATAGGTGAAATCATATGGTACTTGTCTTTCTCTGACTGTCTCATTTCACTTTGCATAATAATACTCTCCAGGTCCATTCACGCCGTTGCAAAAGGTAAAATTTCACTTCTTTTATGGCTGAGTAGTATCCCATTGTGTAAAGGTACCACAGCTATTTTGTGGATCATCTACTGATGGGCATCTGAGCTGCTTCCAAATCTTGGCTACTGTAAATAATACTGCAATGAACATAGAGGTGTTCATGTTCTTTCAAATTAGTGTTTCAGGTTTCTTCAGATATATTCCCAGAAGTAAAATCACTGGGTCATAAGACAGTTCCATTTTTGATTTTTTGAGGAAACTCCATACTGTTTTCCACAATGGCTGCACCAAACTGCTATCCCATCAAGGGTTCATGAGGGTTTCCTTTTCTCCACATCCTTGCCAATACTTGTTTGTTGATCAATTGATGATAGTTATTCTGATAGGTTCGAGGTGATATTGCATCATGGTTTTAATTTGCATTTCTCAGATGATTAGTGACACTGAGAATCTTTTCATATGTCTATTGGCCATCTGTACGTCCTCTTTGGAGAAGCATCTATTCAGATTCTTTGCCCATTTTTAAATTGGATTCTTTGGGGGAGGGTTTTTGGCATTGAATTGTATAAGTTCTTTATAAATTTTGAATATTAACCCCTTATCAAATGCATTATTGGTGCATATGTTCTCCCATTCTATGGATTGTCTTTTCATTTTGTTGATGGTTTCTTTTGCTGTGCAAAATTTTTTTAGTTTGATGTAGTCCCATTTATTTATTTGTTTCCCTTGCACAAAGAGATATATCAAAAAATATATTGCTATGAGAAATGTCCAAGATTTTACTGCCTGTTTTTTTTCTAGGATTTTTATGGTTTTGAGTCTAATATTTAAGTCTGTAATCCATTTTTATTTTATTCTTGTGCATGGTATAAGCAGGTGGTCTAGTTTCATTTTTCTTTTTCATATACCTGTCAAATTTTCCAAACACCATTTATTGAATAGGCTATATTTACCCCATTGTATGTTCTTGCCTCCTTTGTCAAATATTAACTGAGCATAAAGTTGTGTGTTTATTTCT